GTGGACCCTGGATGGATTGTGGTTTTTTTGGGGGGGGGGGGAGGGGGAGGTAAACACATTTGCTCTTGCTATTAAATACCTGTTTCACATTTAGCTTTAAACTTTTTACAACTCAGTGATCAACTATTTTTAAAGGGTAATTATTTATGCAGAGTTATATAAAAAGCAGCCTGTCACATACCAGTGGTGAGAGTAGAAGAAAGAGCTGCAAAGTCTGGTTCTCCCATCATATCAATATACATGGTTGGGGTGCCATAAATACTTGAACATCTGTGGAGCATTAAAAGAACAGCAATGACTATTCATACTATACCGTGGTGGAACCATGCAGTGATGGAATAATTATTTGGTACAGCGATATGCAGTTTCCTCTCTCCAACTAAACTGGAGTGGATTTGTTTAAGAACCAAATCCAGGCCAAATGTTTAGTTTTGAATAAAGTAAAGAAGGATAAAAACCTAAGCCAAATGGTACTGCTGTGTCCAGTTGGGGAGATCTGACACTGCTGAAAGAGGATCTGTCACTTTGCCCATTCAGTTGTTTTACTAGGACATCCTGGAACCTATTCATACTTATGTCCCCTGAGCCCAGGGATGGACAAATGAATATGGAATTTATGAGCCAGTCTGACCAATCCAGGAGCGAGCAGAATTTTTTTCAGGAGCCAGTTTAATTGACAACAACTAGAGAAAACCTCAAAAATTAGGAGTTAGCTATAAATTTTAGGAAGCATTGGCTACCTGCCTCCTGGGATTTGTCTGGCTCTGCCCTACCCACTCTACTAAATTTCAGTTTTTGTTTTCTTTATTTCTGTTGTTGTCCCCTTACAAGAAATGCATCTTCACTCCCTGTCCTGCTTACTACGTCAATAAGTCAAGAAGTGAGGGGTAGCCTCCCACCAGTGGCATAACCAGAGTTATGGGCGCCCGGGGTCACAGACCTTACCGTGGGCCCCCTGCTCTACTAAAAACTGTGTTTTCATCCCATCTGTGATTCCACTGGAGAGATTTGTCTTTATTTCCTGTTCTCACTGACACCCATCAAATAGGCAGACTAGTCAATGGACCTGCATTAGAAGTGATGACATCATCAGTCCTTAGACTGCCGGAGCGCAGGGAGCGGTCTAGCAGCCCAGAGGGAGCCAGCGGGGCCAAGGATCCGATAATTAAAAACAGCTTTAATAGTGTCCCCCAGAACAGCATTTCTCAACCTACGTTCAGTCATGGCACCTTTTAAAGTATGCAAAATCTCGAGGCACCCCAGTCTAAAAGGTAAAAAATGTATATGTAGAAAATGACGTGTGGGCCCCCTCTTCCCAGAATCAATACTAAACACTTATTCTAGACAGGGGTCTAGTATGTAAGGTGGAACCCCAATTCACATCAGCAGCCCCTTTTACATCAAAAGTTCCCTCTATACATCCCAAGACCCCTTCACATCAGAGTCCCCCATCTTAAAAAATAATTTGAAAGCACCCCTGACACAAAGCCAGAAAGCCCCCCCCTGGATGCCATGGCAGAATGGTTGAGAAAGCCTGCCCTAGACAAAACAAGCACCTAACCCTTGCAGTGAAGGATTACCAAGGGTAAGTTATTTCTTTGCCCTAAGTTCTTCTTTAGGCAGGGGGCTGGGGAGTCATGTCTAGAGTTCTCCTTTAACATTGCATAGAAGGGGAGAGCCGAGTAAAATTTTCAATAGGGATGCACCGATACCAGTTTTTCGGTATCGAGTACCGATATTTTGCTTTCAGTACTCGCCGATACCGTGTACCGATGCCCGTGCTTCCCCTGGCATGGAGCCGGCTTCCTGGCCAATCAGGAAGCCTGGTGGCAGGTAATAACAAATGTGGAAATACCCTTTAAACACTGACATAAGTGACAGCAGCTGAAAAGAAATAAAAAACATTTCAAACCTACTTCTCCTTCGAAACTGCCTCCAACACAGCTCGGGGTTGAAAGCTTGGAGACGGTAAGACCAAAGTCGGGCCATACGATATCGATATGAGGCTGCCAAGCACAGAGCCCATGCAGTGGTAGAGCGGCACAGGAAGAGCGACGCGTACCGACTTGGGAGACAGCAAAAGAAACAAGTCAATTCTAGTCTAAAGCCATGACGTGGTAATGGGTGTGCTGCTCATTGACACGTACCGCTTTCCAGTCGTAGCCGAGCCGTAACCCCACATACTGGGCATTGTTCACGATGTTGTGATGGCTCAGAGTGGCTCCTTTGGGATATCCAGTGGTTCCCTATGGCAAAATAAGAGCGAATTAATAATAATCAGGACAGGAAAGGATAAGGCATTGGTTTACATATACTGGCACCAGACAAAAGCCCAAAGCCAGCCAGCTGATGAGAGTTTATATATATGTAAAGGAATCGCTAACATCTCATATAAGCTTTAACACATTATAGAGGAAGTCCAGCTATTAATAAAAATGAGGCCTTGCAGTGGGGCTACTCCTGCACAGCAAGGGTTAACTGTTGGTATTGGTCTAAGGGCTCAAATAAAGAAGAAATACTTACCTGATCCTCAGTCCCTCGGTGGTCGACACTCACCTCTCTTGCCCCTCCACTCTGGCTGTGGATTTTCCCTCAGGATCTTCATGTCTAATCCAAGTCAATGGACCTGCATTAGATGAGATGCTTAGACTGCCAGATCCCAGGGGAGAAGAGGCTACAGGAACCGGTCTGGCAGCCAAATGGGATCAAGGATGGGCCAAGTGTATATTCTTTAATCAAGCCCCTAGACCAGAAGGAGCAGTTAAAAAAATGCATGTAGCAAGGGTTAATTTCGTTAACTCCCGGAGATCCTCTTTAATGTCATTTTAAAATGTCATTTTGGTATTTTTAAATCTATGGCTTTTAAAAAAATAAAAATAAAAGGGTCCTTGTTCAGGCTCTTCTTGTTAAACGGTGACAACAGGCACACAGTGATTTTCTGGCACCCCTGGAATGCCACCCTCCAGGAGACACAGCACTGTGGGCCTCTGCACTCCCAGCCCATGGCCAGATAAGGGAAGCCTCATTCCCTCCAAAGGTATACGCACTGGAGGGGTTCCTGCCTACAACTGGGGACAAGCCTGGTGCACTGGGCCAAAATCAACCCAGGAGGAAAAGGAAACCACCCCAGCACCCACCTATTACTCCAGGGAATACTATTCGGTCATGGCCCCAGTCCATGGACAGCACTATTCTTCCCCAAAAACTGGCAAGAACAGATACTACACTTAATCTTAACCTGATGGTTGAGAAGCGATATGTAACTCCTGCGCATGCGCACAGGAGTTACATCCTCCATGGCATGCGCACAGGAGTTACAGCCTGCATGGCAACCGGACGATTCATCTTAGAGATGCTGTGAATGGGCTGAGTGTGTACAATATTCAGGGGGAGTAAGGAAGAATTTTTTTTTTGGCAGGAAAGACTGCATGTCTCTCCTGCCAAAAATCCCAACCTCCCAGCAATGTTATATTTTGTCCCGTTGACTTCCGCTTTAAAATAGCTCTATGCAGTTTGGAAAAAAGGCTCAATGCTATTGGGCTCCACCTGTACTATAAACCAATTGGTCTGGATGTATGCCAAAAAAAGGTATAAAGAAAGATACAAAGAAATTTGCATGGCTCTGCCCGTTCTGCTAAAATGAGGAATTCACCCTTTATTTACTGGATCTGTGACACACCGCATAAATTTTCTGTTTTAGGCTCTACTGCAGGTGTAGGCAACCTCAGCCATGCAGCTGCGGTAAAAATACAAATCCCATCATGCCTCTGGGGGTCATGCCTGTGACTGGCAGTCTTGCAATGCCTCATGGGACTTGTAGTTCTACAACAGCTGAAATGCTGAAGTTGCCTACCCCTGATCTACTGCGTTCATTTGCATTACCAAAGTTCACCACTAGAGGTCTCTGACACTCACTTTGGAGTCAGGCTGGAAAATTCATCTCCGCATGTATGGCGGCTATTTTCACATTTGTGTGTAGTTCTATTTATAAAGTGTTTCTGTGTGCCAACGGAGATGTCAGACTGGCAGGCACACAGCTCAGTGGAGAAAATGTTGGCATGGGTATTTGAAAAAATAAAAGAACTTCTGAGGGCGGCAGGCATTTAAAAACACTGCAATTTTCTTAAAGGGAACCTTTAATGTATTTTCAAGGAGCACACACTTTAAAAGGAAATAATAATGGTTTCGGGTCAATTTTATTTATTTACTCATTTATTTTCTAACATTTAGAAGTTTCCCAACTCCAGCCCAGATTCTTTTTGTTTCGGATAAAATTTCTGCCTAGCTTTATTTTTTGTCTGTGACCCCATTGGGCAGTTTTAAATAGAGATGTCATCAGCACACCAGCACGACAGGGGTCATGGGGACAGGAAGAAAGAGAAAATCTCCCCAACGGGACAGATGTCCATAAATCCTGTAGCACTCCTTACCGCCGGAAATCCCAATGAGTTTATGGGTGCTTGAAATGACCGCGGATGGCGCTGCACACAATAGAACTTTAAATTGAGATGTCAGCACACCAGCAGGTCAGGATCCAAGTCAGTGCAAATCCATTTATTGATAGATGTCACCCAAGATATCAAGCGCTTTCGGGGCCACACTCAGAGCCGGATGAAGGGGACCCTGTGTGGCACCGAAAGTGCTTGACATCTTGGGTGACAGCTATCACTAAATGGATTTGCACTGACTTGGATTCTGTCGTGCTGATGACATCTCTATGTAAGGTTCTATTGTGTGCGGCGCCATCCGCGGTAATTTCAAGCACCCATAAACTCATTGGGATTTCCGGTAAGGAGTGCTACAACATTTATGGACATCTTCCTGTCCCCATGACACCTGTACTAGTCATTGGAGGCGGTGTGGTTGTCACTGGGACGGGAAGGCACAGACAACAATGACAAACCTTGTCAGAGGCTCTAACCGGAGTGTGCTGGAAATATTTTGCTGTTGTAGAGGTTCTAACCCTTTGCCAATCTATTAGAAATGTAAGATTGTCCGTGTCCGCCATTGGGGAGATTTCTAGAAACTTCCTGCCCTGCCCTAATTTGGCCACCACATCTAATGACTAGTAGGCTGCAACATGTTATAATTCTATTTTTGGGTTTACATATACTTTAAGGTAACATGGATGCCCTGAGGTGTATCTGCCTATATTTTGCCTTCCCTGGTTCCTACCACCATGATCCACTGATCAAGGTGGCAATGCTTTGCGGGCTCCAAGGCAAAAATTTAATAAATGGAAATTTTTTCTTTTATGAACATGGGAGCATTTATTACATTTTTGCAAAATGGTGGAATATGCCTTTAAATTGGCCAATTGACAGGGTCTCTTTATGAAGAACTGGATGTATTCCACCATCCAATCCGTTTCAGGCTTTCACGACAGGTTTTAATCTGATTGGCGGCTGAGGAGACGTGGCTCCCGTCCTAAGAATAGCGGGTATTTAGTGTCAGATCTGTATAAATGACAGTTCGGCAGTCACATGTCGTATCTGAACTCACAGACGTAAACTGGATGTTGATGGGGTCATCGCAGGACACGGTCTTCTGTAAATCCTGCAGCTGCTTCACATGCTGAGTGGTGCCGGCGTTCATCACTTCATCAAAGTGTAGAGTTCCCGGATACTTCTGGTCCAAGACTATCGCAATGCGCAGATCCGGAAGTCTGCCAGCAAAAAAAAAATGAAGAAAGTCAATAAAAGTTTAACTGACAGCGGTGTCATGATTTCCCCACGAGTGAAGTATGTGAACCCCATTTATCCAACCGTCAAAACCGGAAACTGTCTCTGTGTAACTGAGAGCAACAATCAGATTTAAAGTAGAATAAAAAATGACATCTATAATGACCAAGGCCGTAACTACAGATCACGGGGCCCCATAGCAAAGATGTTATGGGGGCCCACCAGACGTCCTCTCTGAGCTGTGAGTAACGATGCCAAGATCCCAAAGACTCCTCTTGTGCATCTGAAGTCGTCTCAACTCTGAATCAAAAAAACCTGGAATCAGCCATGTTGCCTGCAGCTACAAAACATCTAAAAAGGTGGATGTTTTTATTATTTTGGGGTATACTGTGCAAATGGGAACACATAACAAACATATAGGGTTTTTTTTTTTCATATTTGACTGCAAAAGTGGAAATACTGTAGTGGTCCCTAAATCTTTCCAGAGCAAAACAATTGTATCCCTTGCATAAGTTAGCCAGACGCTGGTAGATTTCCATACACACTAGCGATACCGTTTATTTTTAGTGTCATGTGACAGTTTTTCTAAAACAGTGCACACTAGTGATTTTAGGACAGTGGTGGAGCACTAGGGCCCGGCCACAGCTGCAACCCTGCAATCCTGGTAGTTCTGCAACTGACTCCAAGCTGTAGAGGGACTACAAATCTCAGCAATACATTATTATAAAGCAATGCAGAATACCATCAGCTATAGAGGATTATAAATCCCAGCAATACATTATACAACAATGCAGAATACTATTAGATATAGAGGCATACACATCTCAGTAATACATTATACAGCAATGCAGAATCGCACCGACTATAGACGACTACAAATCCCAGCAATACATTATACAGCAATGCAGAATACCATCAGCTATAGAGGACTACAATTCCCAGCAATACATTATACAGCAATGCAGAATCGCACCGGCTATAGAGGACTACAAATCCCAGCAATACATTATACAGCAATGCAGAATAATACCATCAGTTAAAGAGAACTACAAATGCCAGCAATACATTACACAGCAATGCTGAATCAAACCATCAGCTATAGGAGGACTACAAATTCCAGCAATACATTACACAGCAATGCAGAATCAAACCATCAGCTATAGAGGGCTACAAATCCCAGCCATACATTATACAACAATGCAGAATGACACTGGATATAGAGGAATATAAATCCCCGCAATACATCATGCAGCAATGCAGAATAATAGTATATGAATTGCTACAAACTCTGTGCTGCCGCTCTGCTCCGGGGTGATGTTTTGGGCAGGGGCGTCTCAGGAGTGGGAGATGTGCAGGTCGGCAGAAGCACTGTAAACAGGAGCCACGTGGTTCCCAAGAAGGTTGCCACAATTTACCCAGCCGGACCTAAGGCAGCCGCTTAATTTAAAAAAATGAAAGCACCTGTATTGGTTTTTGGTAGTGGGGCATTTTCAGTAGTACAAGCACTCGTGAAAATGCCCAGTATCGGCACTGATACCAATGCTGGTGTCGGTGCATCCCCAGGACATAAGAAACATCTGGTTTAGAACATTGGACAATGCCACTGCAGACCTATCAAATGTCATTCGAAAATTTTCGTTTGATTTTAACATTTGATTTTGGAAATTAATGGAGTTTCTCGAATGAAAATCACATTCACCGCTAGACTTTCATGAAAAGTTTTCCATCCTGCTCCTTTCATATTTTTTGCGTCACCACAATTGAAAATGATCGTCGATTTGACCCCATTAAAGGAGAACTATGACATGAGTGATTTCCACTCACCTCATAGTTCTAGCCGACCTGTGACAATGAGACTGTCACAGGTCGGCTCAGTAGATCGGGAGGTGAGCAAACACATACCGGGTTCCCTCACCTCTCGATCCTGTCACGGCTCTCTGCCGTGACAGGGGGAGGGGCTGGATTCCCCTCTCCCCGCTCCGATCTGCCAGCGCTGACTGGTGGAACGGACGGGGGAGGGGGCGGGTACAGCTGGCTCTGCCTCTAGATAGGCAGAGCCAGCTGTCACTCACGCAGCTGGGCGGATCCCGTCATTTAAGTCGGGATCCGCTCCAGGTGCGCGTCTCAGTATACCGCGAGCTGTAGCTCGCGGTATACTGAGCTTAGGGTAACGGGAGGACGCTAGTTTGTGTCCTCCCGTTACCCCAAGGAGAACTATGGGGAAAAACACTGACCCCATAGTTCTCCTTTAAGTATTCTAAAATCAAACGAATGTTCCAGAAAAAGAATATTTTCTACTGGCGTATGGCCAGCTATGGGTGTAAGAGGACACACAGCAAGCAGCAGCAGCAGCAAGAAGCCCGCCTGGCTGATCACACTTACGCCTTGCTCTTGATGCCCCCTGCTGGTGAACTGTCAATCTCCGGACAGATACTCCTCAGAAGTTCGTAATATCTCTGCGTTTTAAACTGTTCGGGGAAGATCAGGGCCAAGCACCCGACCTGTGCAGAGAAAAAGGAGAATGCGGTTCAAGAAATGAACATAAAAAACGTATACATGGTAACTATATACATAAGTGTACATTGACGTGTAGTCAACCCTGATGCAAACAGAACACATTCGCAATTTTATATTTGTTAGATAATTTTTTATTTGATATTTGATATTATTGTGTTAAAGTGAGGGAATAAAAACAGTCGGGGGTTTACATAAAATTGGCCAGTATTAAGGTGCCCATACACTCTACAACCCTCGCAAGACTTTTGTCTTGCGAGGGTTGTAAAGTACTTAAAAAAAAATAAGATCTGCCCATCTTGGACAGGCAGATCGTACTTGCGATCATCGCAAGCCCACACCCCTGAGGGGCGGGCTTCAGATGACGGCAATGCTGAACGGGCAGTGTGCTCGTGCGCACACCGGCCCGTTCGGCAGTGATCTCTTGATCATGTTAAAAACCAGCCGAAAATCGTATGATTCTTGGCTGGTTTTCAAACATGTTCGATATACAAAAGTCGTGCGACCGTACATTAGAAACGGTCGCACGCCTTCCATACACTGCACGATTCTCGTACGATCGCGGGATTTCCCGCGATTCTCGTACGAGAATCGTGCAGTGTATGGGCACCTTTAAGTTTTTTTAAGTACTTTACAACCCCTCGCAAAACTTGTAGAGTGTATGGGCACCTTTAAACATTTAAAGGACAACTGGACTTTCAGGCTAGGTTCACACCTAGGCGACTCCTGACCACGCGGCAATCCACGCCGTTTTGTGTCGCCAAGGTGTGAACCGTTCGCGTTGTGGGTGCCATTATTTTCTAATGACACCCCAGTCGCACGGTTTCCTGCCGCGATTCTGCAGGTGCAACTGAACACATTCGCAACTAAAAAAAAGCCGTGCGTCGTGTGTCACAAAAAACAGGTACTTGTGACTTTTTTTAGCGATTGCCGCATGGATGTCACCGCACTGAATTCAATGAAGCCGCGCGGCAATCGCTCTGTGCGCTAGCACACAATCGCACGGCCCCGGGACGCGCATCCCGGGTGTCGTGCAGTGTAGTGCAGGTGTGAACCTAGCCTCAATCTGGGCTCATTTACACGGGTGTGCGCATGCATGCGGAGACCTGCTCCTGGGAGGGACAGGAGCTGCGTATAATTGTATGCAGCCGTTTGTACATCTCTATGGGAGGACGGAGCTCCATGCGATTACACGCCGACCCGAACCTGCATATCCATGCAGATCTGAGTGCCAACGCTTGGCCGTACACCGTCTGCATCCAAGTGCAGGCACCCCCAACCTGCACGCATAGGCAAGTTTGGGTAGGCCTGTAACCACGTGTAGCCCCATCCTCCCATAGGGATGTACAGGCGGCTGGATACAATTACATGCAGCGCCTGTCCCTCCCAGGTGCACGCCCATGTGAATGAGCCTTCTAAATCAGCTAACACATTCTAGGTGCAGCAGAATAAAAGTCTCAGAGTTGGTTTTCTTTCTAGAGTAGAAAAGCCTGTCCCTTGCCAGCAAGCTGCAGGGCCGTTGGGCTGCATTCGCACAGGGCTTGTATGTGCATTCTAGGATTCCTGCGGCAGGAATGTCAGGTGTCCCTGTTCAGATGCCGCCGCTGCGCCCGTTCAAGTAAATGACCGGGTGACAGCAGCCACATCTGTATATGGTACGATTACATGTAGTTTGGGATATATGACTGTCCGTTGACGCAGGGTAGATGCATTCAGGGACAATCTAGATGGATCTGGTTATTAGTGGAATAGAACTGGAAATGGAAATTCAATATAGAAATACAGATTGATTTATTTTTCGTTTTTTGGCCACAGATACCCTTCAATCTATCGTACCTTCCTAAGGACATACTCCAACTCCCGTGCTTGATACGCTGGATTCACAGACACCTGCAGAGAACACATTTGTGTTAGCGGTAAAGGTGAATGTGTAATGGCAAAGTACATTTAACAGTTCAATTTGCACACAGGCACCTGGGGCCATATAACATAACATTCCAACATATTTCCCCACCCGGGAGCCACGGATGCTGTGTGCAGCTGCCCATAGAAATGACTGGCTGTATGCGGCTGGACACGGGAATGCGCCGGTACTTGTGAAACACTCATGCCTACCAGCGTACCACCCCAAATGCATGCTGTCTGCGTTCGGGGGTTCTATGCCCCTATGCATGCGCACTCTGGAATATAACTGCGTATCACCAAATACAGACATTGATTTCTATGGGCGGCTGTAAAAGTTAATATGTTATATATTGCAGCTTTCAAATCCTTACATCTGCAAGAGTTTTCTTTTTCAGGCTTATATTCCTTTATTTTCCCCTGGTGATCCTGCCAGTAACACACTTCCTGTACTAGGGTGACAACACTCACTATATTGTCTCTATAGAGGAGGAACATTGTCACCCTAGGACATGAAGTGTTTTAGACTACAGAGATTATGTCTTCTCCTGTTGATCCCCATACAACAGAGAGAGGTGTTCTGTAGTTCACAATTGGGCTGATAACATTGCAATGGGAAAAATGCTCAGGATGCTGGACAGCGCTGGATTTATGGCAGGATCAACAGATATATCTACACAGATAAAACAATTGTATATATTTAACAGCCAAAAGGGGATTGCCACTGCTGCAAATTCTACACGCCTTGCTGTCATGCCGGTCCTTTGGTTTCACATGTATCTGAGCCTTAGAGCAGGAACAAGTATGCAGATGAAAAATTCCAGATGTTGTCACCTGTATACATGTTCGGGGTCACAGCGAATCCCGGCATTCCGTCCACTCATGTAAGAACTTTGGTTCACACCAGGCCCCTTGTGCTGTATTCAACACAGGTACAGCGCAAAAAGCTTTGCATAAGGCCGGTTTACGCCAACGCACTGCGCTGACATGCGGTATTCAGGATGTAATATAAAACATGGTCAGATCTCAAAATAATATGTATTATTATTTTCTAAAAGGCGGACTTTCCCTTTAAGTCTAACAAAGCCTTCTGTAATTGATTCGGGTGACACGTCCTGATATACAAAATGTTTTCATTCGTTTTGTCAACATTTCCCATAAAAAAACAAATTCAAATGTTTCAAAAACACCTCAACCAAGCCGGGCCTTGTACTGATCATCTTACTGAGGCTAGCCAGACACCTGTCAATTTCTTCCGTTCAACCCGCGGGCTGAAGGAAAAAAAATCGACGCGATTCCTCCATCAACACAAAGAGCGCCTCGATCAAGGAACTGCCGCTGTTGTATTCTGTATTCATTGTATTGTATTCATTGTATTCTGACAGGTGCTGCCGTCACCTGTCAGAATACCTGATCAGAGCAGGCAGCTCATTGGCTGCCGGCCCTGATCACACGAACATTTTCCAGCCGGCTCCTTCGGTCAGCTGATCGAGGAATGTCGGCTGAAAGGGAGCCGACAGCCCCACACACTGTGCGAATTTCGGCCGGTACATTACAAACCGGCTGAAATTCGGGCAGTTTATGGGCACATTTAATCAGGGCGAATCTCACAGCAAATTCAGAACATCTTCATCTATCTCAAATTGGATTTATTCTATTTATTACTTCTTTTTGTCTTTAAAATATACAGAAAATTAAAAGGAGAACTATGGGGGTCAGGGCTTTTCCCCATAGTTCTCCTGAGGGTCACAGGAAAACACAAACTAGCGTTCTCCCGTGACCCAAAGCTCAGTATACCGCGAGCTACAGCTCTATTTTGGCTCCTGTCTAAATTGGCCCTCGTATGTATGTGAGATAGGGACCTTAGATTGTAAGCTCCTGATGTGAATGTGCACTGTGCATGTAAAGCGCTGCGTAAAATGTTACCACTATTTCAAAACCTGTAAAAACATTTAACAAAAAAATAAGCAAAGCCCTATGCAACTCTTGAAATGTGATATCACCAAAAGAAAGCCTTGTGTGTCCCATACAAAAAATATATACCGGACCTCTGTGACCAATGTAATGACACAAAAACAATGCTGACTTAAGCCCATGTCTGAACTGTGAAAATGGCTCTGGAGTTTAAAGGAGAACTATGGGGTTAAGTATTTTCCCCATAGTTCTCCTTAGGGTAACGGGAGGACACAAACTAGCGTCCTCCCGTCACCCTAGGATCAGTATACCGCGAGCTACAGCTACTGAGACGCCGCAGTATACCTCGAGCTGCTGCTCGCAGTAAACTGAGACGCCGCAGCTGAAGCGAATCCCGACAATTGTGCCGGGATCTGCCCAGCTGCGTGACTGACAGCTGGCTCTGCCTATCTAGAGGCAGAGCCAGCTGTACCCGCCCCCTCTCCCGTCCGTTCCGCCATTCAGCGCTGGCGGATCGGGGAGGGGGGAATCCAGCCCCTCCCCTGTCACGGCAGAGAGCCGTGACAGGATCGAGAGGTGAGCGAACGCCGGCATGTGTTCGCTCACCTCCCGATCTACTGAGCCGACCTGTGACAGTCTCATTGTCACAGGTCGGCTAGAACTATGAGGTGAGTGAAAAGCACTCACCTCATAGTTCTCCTTTAAAGAAGACAAAAATCCAACCCCCCAAATCTCACAGGAGATTCAACATGTTGAAGAACCTTCAAAAGTCATTTTAACTGTGCCCGGTGATCCAGCACAGCCACTTTCTGTTATTGGGTGACAACGCTGTGTCCCTATCTCCCAGTTGTGCTCTTGTGTTATCACCCTGTCAGACAAGTGGCCGTTTCAGCACACATGAGGCAGGCATGGTCCGCTGTCGTTACCATCAGGAAAACCAATACAATGAAGGACAGAACAAGCTGGTGGAAAGTATTTTACAGGGTTATTCACAAAAGGGTGAAGAGTTTGGAGAAGGCAGGAGAAATGAACAATTTAGGACAACATAGCTGAACGGGAAAGTGAGCTGAATTGAGGTACTTTTCCAAATCAGTTATTTTGGCCTAGATTGTTCACTTCTCCTGCCTTCTCCAAACTCTTCACCCTTTTGTGTATAACCCTGTTAGTATCTTTCAGTTAAAGCTTACATCCACTTTGACACTATAGAGCCGATTTATAAATCTTCCACCCAGCGATGTGCTGTCAGCATGCCATTCCTGCCACTAGATGGAGCTGAAGCGCATAAAACATTCCTATGCTCCTTGGCTCCATCTAGTGGTGGGAATGATGTGTGAACAGCATTTGCGGAGCCCATCGCTGGGTGGATGTAGCAAAGGACCCCTATGACCGCATTAGTCCATGCATGTGGTTATTGATTTGTAAAGCTTTCTGTACACTGTGTACTGACTTGTATGAAGTATTTGGCTTGGAGAGTGAAGGGAACAAGCTTATTTCTATAGTAGGGGTAGCCAAACGTTGTCCCTCCATCTGTGGTGAGACTACAAATTCCACCATGCCTCTGCCTCCAGGAGTCATGCCGGTGGCTGTTAGAGTCTTGCAATGCCTAATGGGACTTGTAGTTCCGCAACAGCTGGAGGTCTGGAGTTTGGCTACCCCTGATCTATAGGCTCAGGCTGTTCTCTTGCAGATACTTAATTATATGCAATCAAAAGGAAAAAAAGATAAATCACACAGCCGTGCTCACCAGGATGATGCCAGCTTGAGCCGTAGCAAACTGTGTAACAATCCATTCGTAGCTATTGGGTCCCCACATTCCGAGGCGGTCTCCCTTCTTCAGGCCCAGCGCCAGCAGCCCCGCAGCGAGAGTCTCAACCTGTGCGAAGAAAAAAAAAAAAAAAAGGGTAACGTTATAAAATAGAGAACCGAAATGATAAAATAGTGTCTATGTACAAGAGTCATGTGTACTTTGTGTATTTCTACCAGATCTGTGCAGTAAGTGAGACTTGGAGCTTCCTGTAATAAAGACCAGTCACTGCGGCTCTCTCTCGTTGTGCAGGGTGACTGGTCTTGTCTCTGCCCCCTCCTGTAATAAAGACCAGTCAATGCTGCTCTCTCCTTGTGCAGGGTGACTGGTCTTGTCTCCGCCCCTTCCTGTAATAAAGACAGCTCACTGCTGCTCTGTCTCCTTAAATAAAAGATTAGCCTAGTGTTGTTAAAGGAGAACTATGGGGTTAAAGGAGAACTATGGGGTTAAAGGAGAACTATGGGGTTAAAGGAGAACTATGGGGTTAAAGGAGAACTATGGGGTTAAAGGAGAACTATGGGGTTAAAGGAGAACTATGGGGTTAAAGGAGAACTATGGGGTTAAAGGAGAACTATGGGGTTAAAGGAGAACTATGGGGTTAAAGGAGAACTATGGGGTTAAAGGAGAACTATGGGGTTAAAGGAGAACTATGGGGTTAAAGGAGAACTATGAGGTGAGGGAAAAGCACTCACCTCATAGTTCTCCTTTAAGAAGAATTATCTATGCATTTATGTATACGTTCATTGACAGAGCTGCCCGTTGATCTCTATAAGGCTAGGTTCACACCTGCGCGATCTGTAACCACGCGGCAATCGTGCACAAAACCATGCAGGATTGCCAAGCGGTCACGGAATGGCCTACCACAGCCGATCGCGCAGGCATTTCCATTATTTTCTAATGGCACCCCAGTCGTGCTGGGCCAATCGCGCAGTTTTCCCATGCAATTGAACACGATCGTGGCTAAAAAAATGTGTGTTGTGTGTCGCAAAAAAGGGTACATGTACCTTTTTCCAGCGATTGCCGCGCGTATGTAACCCCATTGACATCAATGGGGCCGCGTGGCAACCCGCCATGTGCACCCGCAAACGATAGCGTGGTCCCGGGATCACTCAGATCTGAAACTAGCCTGTGGAAGAGAGACTTGTTTTTGTTTATTTGTTATTCTGCAATTGAGATTTTTTTAAATCTTTTTTCTGCTCAGACATATTGTATTTATTTCTGACATATTAGTTAAAGGAGAACTATGAGGTGAGTGCTTTTCACTCACCTCATAGTTCTAGCCGACCTGTGACAATGAGACTGTCACAGGTCGGCTCAGTAGATCGGGAAGTGAGCGAACACATACCGGCGTTTGCTCACCTCTCGATCCTGTCACGTCTCTCTCCCGTGACAGGGGAGGGGCTGGATTCCACCCTCCCATCTGCCAGCGCTGACTGGCGGAACGGACGGGGGAGGGTACAGCTGACTCTGCCTCCAGCCGGAGCGGATCCTCTCGATGTGGGGATCCGCTCCGGCTGCGGGGTCTCAGTATACTGTGAGCTGTAGCTCACAGTATACTGAACCTAGGGTGACGGGAGGACGCTAGTTTGTGTCCTCCCATTACCCTAAGGAGAACTATGGGGAAAAGCCTTAGCCCCATAGTTCTCCTTTAAGCTGTAAAGTAAATCAGGAAGATATCCCCGAGTAGGATTGCTGTGGCCGCTCTGCCAGTGAATGTTTATGCACACACACACTCATATACTTATACATGTGTGTATCTGTGTGTATATATATTCTTTTATATTTTTGTACATATGTTTTTTTTATATATGGGTTTTGACTTTAACACGGGAATTCTTGATTCTCTTGTCCCTTTCATGCGCCGGAGAATTGTGAGCGTAGGGTAAATTGTGAGCATATGATGATGGCACAGCCCTCGCCACACCTGGTTGTAATTAGGTAGGGAGGAGGGCTAGTTGCTATTTCTTGGGCGCATGAAGGTGAAGGACTCATTCCTATGATTAAGCCCTGTGGGTGAAGTGCGTGAGGAGAGTTCCTTTCATTCTGGGGAGCTTTGTGAGGCGTATGCTGTTCTATGGATTGAAATAAACTTGGATTCATTTGGAGAGTGCGGCTCTTTTTGGATGAAACCGCATTGCACTTTGCTGCATTGCACTCTGTGTGGGGCGAAGTGACAGCTGCAGCCTGCAGGATCGTTTGTAAACAAACCTCATGTGATCATTACAACTGACAGTCACATGGTCACATGATCAGGAACCACGCGGATTGCTTCACGGGCATTTGTTGAGAACAGTTTTACTATGCAACACAGGTTCAACATTCCCTTAACACAGGGCACTGCGCTGAGAGAACATTAATCAGCAGACTGAGATCAGAAAGGGGTAAACCTTGACCACCTTCCCTACAGCATGCTGTTTCCTGCTGCATGACAGGTGCACTTTAACGGCTGACCTACATCTTTGCACAGCTGGCTGAAGGTCTTCCTCTTGGCGCCGTAGATATCCACAACGGACTCCTGATCCGGGAACCGCTGCGTTGTGTCCCACAGACACTGCTGCATGGTCTTGTTGGTTAGCGGCACATCGGTGTTCCCATGGACGTAACTTGTGGTGGTGATGGGTTTTTGGGGCGGAGCTACGGAGAGCAGAACGCTGCGGGATGGAGAATAGAGATGGTGTTAGAGCGCGCACCTTTATATGTCAGGTGCAGATTCACAGGACACATTTGTGCAAACATGTTTCTGAAAGCTGAACTCTATGCAGATATAAAAGACACAAATATATAGACATGTAAGCTGCAGAAACATTCGGTTCGGATATTTCGTTATTTCGGATCCGAAATTCAATCCGATCCGTGTTTCTGATTCGGACTAAATCCGAATTTTCGTTAGGTTCGGATGATTTAACGAATATTCGATGTGAATACCAAATAAAACCATATACATATAATACTAAAGCTGAGGCTCCCAGACCCGAATGGCATTCGGGATTCGAATTTCCAAATGACATTCGGGAGCTCCAGAATGCCATTCGGGTCTGGGAACCTCAGCTTTAGTATTATATGTATATACTGTATATGGCTCCCGTGTTGCCATAACGAAAATTTCGGATGCATTAAACCGGAAAACACATCTAATTGGCCAGAGAAGTCACATGACCCATTCATTTTAGTTTTTGAGCAAAATTCGGACGGGATCTGACAAATGCGAAAAACAAAAATTTGGATTCGGATGCATTGGGATTCGACAATTTGGATGTGTCCAAATTTTGGAAAATTTGTCCGAATTTTGACTCGAAACAAAATGAAGCGCACATGTGTACAAATATATACGACAATAAATCTTTTTAAATGCAAGCAGTGTAAGCAACTAAATCTGACCTGGTATCAGCTTCTTGTAGTCCCTGTACAGCAGGGCTGGAGTGTAAGATTAAGAAGCAGCACAAACGGCTAATCATTTCATGTGCTGAGAAAAGGGGCATGCTTATGTCTACAGACAATACTATATACATAATACATGATTATATAT